GTAACGACGCGTGTGTTTTTCTTCAAACGAATTTGTATAAATGTTATATGTCTATCTCGTATTTCTGTGACGAGACTCTTTCGCGATTACACAAGTCTCTACCGTGTAGTATGGCAAAATAAATCTTGTCTAAGGCTATATGTGCGTTCACACTTGGAGTTTAATCCGAATTGAATTCAGAATAAGGTCTTATTCCGTCACACTCAATTCGCTAAAAACCGAACTGAATCTGAAATAACGAGTCCGTATATTTTTCTGAATTCAGTCTGGAACAACTATTCCAAATCGGGTTATCCGCAATCAAAGTTTGAGTGTGGCGCGCTTGCGATTCAGACCAACGGGTTTACCGGAACCGAATAACTTTGCATGTTCACAACTACTTCCGTTAATTGCTTGGAGGGAAACGTGTCTATTTTCCGAGGCCAATATTTTGCAAATAAATAAAAATTAATTTTGCGAACACAAATCAGTTGAGGCAAAGACTACATAGCCGGAGCCCCACCCGATACATATACTGTGGTAACATAACCAGTTAAAAATCCAAATACAAAGATATGGTATGTTCAGATGACGGCTGATCATTTAAGCCTGGACCTTAGGGTCAATCAGGCCAACTCCAGACGTCTTGGGTCTAGTAGAGTTTAGTCCCCAGCATGTATTGTATGAGGTTGGGTGAGATTGACAACAAAATATACTGCTTTCCATTATGCATGTTTAGTGCTAAAAGAATTTTAATTATAAAATGTATCTTCGCTAGTAGAGAGTTAAGTTCATCTACATACTTCGATTCGTGTGCAGAGGAAATCGTGCCCGACGCTCAATGGCAAGATGCCGAAGATGCGAGACCCGACGTGGCTGATATATCCTTGCTCGCCTCAAGCAATTAAGCACTAGCAACAGAAGATCACGAAAACGAATGACGGGCTAGTTATGCGCATTCAATGTGGCGCGTTTCAATTTGAATTCAATCCAAATAAGCTGTAATATGACGCACGGCTTTTAATCCGAGATAAACCAATCAGTGTGAACATAGCTTATGAATGCTTCAAGTATAATGCGGAATATGTACAATTTTGCCCTAGTCCAATTAAATGGCTAAGTAATTGTTCGTTCGTTCGTTTCCGCGTTAAACAAGGCCATTAATAGTAATTATTTCACAGTAACAGGATCTTCTCCCAGCTGGAGCCGTAAAATGATTTAATCAGTTCCCTTCACTTAACTTTACTTAAGCGTTCTGGTTTAGGACGATGTATAATAAATTGAGACATCGGAGTTGTTGTTTACTTGCTGCAAATAACGTAACAGGATAATGAATTGTCTTCTCTGAATCTGGGTTCGGTTGTAATTGAACTTATACAACAGTTGCAGGTGTTTGCTAGTACATGTAACATGTATTTATTGTATATTACATATGTCGAAGATTTAGGCACATCTAATAACTATCCATCTCGCCGCAACTTCACTTTATATACTGATATACGTTCCCAGCAAAACAATAATTCAAACGCTCATCTAATAATGGTTATTGTAAAATGTCTTTGTGTCATTTAAATACTGAATCAATTCCATTGCATCATATAGCCTCGGCAAAGAACCGAGGGCCTGGCAAGAAAACATTGTGTTGTCTTTCATGGTAAACGAAATAGAGTAGGCCGCGGCGCCTCTGCCAAAGTAGCATTTCCCTCATAGAACATTGCATTTCGTACGCCCATCTTCATTATCGCACTTGGTGCTTAATGTGTTTTATAGAGAAAACGCGTACCGGTACACATTATTTTGAACGTAAGATTGCGACTTTGCCAAAGTCGTTCACAGCTGACATGACGTCGTCATTACTAGGAAAATGACGACCGGTTAGTTTCTTTTTGGAAACAGTTGGAAGTCTAACGGGGCCAATTCTGGCCAAAACATTATGGGATCTGCTTCAAAACGGTGCAGATTGTCACGGGACGTCAAGAATCTGACATTTCTTATCCGCAGTCAAGAGTTTTGACACCCATAGCTTTGCATGACACCCATCTTGCAGAAACTTTTGTCATTCCAACCCCATTTGGCGATAGTGTGCCGAACCCTCTCATGAGAGATGCACACACTGGTAATATGTCGAGTGGTCAATCGCCGATCAGCCATATGTCATGCACCCGGATAATGTTATCGTGAACGGTTGCTTTTGATGGAGGCGAGTCATCGTCAAGGTTCCTTCGGCCACGCTTAAATTCCGCATCCCACTTCTTTACTGCGCAAGAGGGAGGGACATCATCGCCTAAAGGGGAAACCATGTTGGCATGTATCTGTGTTGGAGTTAGTTCTTTCAGTTGCAGTACTTGATGGCTGCCCTATAGTCAGTTTTGTCCATTTCTGATGATTTCAATGGGTAGGTTTAGAAGATGGTCTGGTACGAAGCCAATAATAACACTATGTCTATGATTCATTCAATGATTGTACTTGTTGGCGTCACAAGTGTGTTTCAACCTAACTCATTTTTAGGCTTAGAACTTTTCAGCCAGCCCTCGTATCCCAGTGCTCAAGTTATATGACGCTGGGCCAGTTTTGGTAATATCAAAGACATTTTAGTAGCAAACCTTTACTGTCTGGATATAAATGAACGTTGGCTCTTTGTGAAATCGAAACTTAAATAATTTTCATACCAGTCAATGTCAACTATATTGTCTTATTCGGGTGATTTGATTCCAGTCGGAAATTAACCAATTAGATTGTATGATGAATGTCACACAAATCTGTCAGTTACTGCTGGTAAACACGAGTGAAGCAGATACTGTAATTTGTTTGCTTGCCTGATTTTTCTAAACTGAATAGTTATAAGTCGTTCTGTTTTATGTGCTGACATTATAAGCTGATTTCTTGTAGCACATAACCAATCATGACCACATCTGAATAATAAACATTTGGGAAGATTCCCTTTATTCTGGATCGTTTGCCTTGGCACAGTGGACCCTTACGGAGGCCACCATCCCCACCCCAAAAACCACCACACCTCCACGGATGTAGCCACTTGATTTGATATATATATACGTGTATTGTTTGTAACCCGAAATGTTACGATGAATACAACGTATTCAACGTAAAATCTGTTTTGTAATACTGTTGAGCGGGGATTTTTGAAATATCTATTCATGTTTACTCTATCCGCCTTTAATCTACCGGTCTGCCCAGTCTCAGCAACTCATCTGAGGTAGTGTTGCCGTCCCCATCGCTTTTACTCACGTATAATAGCGTGTGTATTCTCAGTGGATTTGTCTTACAGGTTTATGCGCGGTGCGGTCCTACTGTTATTACCATTAAAACGTTTTAGGATATGGTGATATACCTAACCAGTTAAATTAAATGAAACCAATTCTTGTATAATTCTCATTATTTCATCCCTACTGGCCAAGATAAGTCAAACGGGTGATTATGGATTAAATGCCGCTGTCTATTTTAGCATAATGAAATTATACAAATGACACGGTTTCGTGACGGGAATGGGGTCTCTGAAGATCTCTCAGAATAATAGTTCTTCAGGAATATCCCAAGGCAGCTAGTGTTCAAAGAATAAAAGCTCAACGACTCGTCTCAGTGTACCGCGGTTACAATCTTACATTAGCTGACAGTGGTACCCGTACCGCACACCAGGTAGGGTAAGCTTTCTCTTCCCAGAATACATGATGAATCATATAGGATCGTCAATCATAATTGATAGTGGAATAATACTAGACAAAATGTTCTGATGGGCTTTGTTTCTCAAACAGAACTACGTTTATATGCTAACGTTTTCATCGCGATAGCGGCTCTAGAGCAGCTTTAATCAACTATTCTAATATATATATCTCGGACATTCGTCCTTTTGAATGTAAACATGAAAATGACATTTCAACTCCGGCGAAGAGATGTAACTTAAATAATTTCACTACATTACGTGTCTGTTGCGCAAAACATCATAACGTCTAAGATAGAATGGCTGGGCTTGTTCAAGGTAACTAAGTTTCAATCAGAAAGAGATATAATAGCTTACCGTTTGGTCGGGTATTATTCACACAAAAGTACATCACTAGTAATTATTAGATGTATAAGCGTCGGCTTCCGGACAAGCCATCGCAATGTTAAAGAGATGAAGGGAATTGGAATGAAATAGGGGTTAAGGTCCTGGGCTAATGAACACAGGCATACGACTTGCAGTGTGATATGAGGGAAATTTTGTCCTAACATTGGCGCCATGGCCTGCTCTTATTAATCTTCGCATCCACTGGCCTAAATCCGAGGAGAAAATAATGTATGAGTGTAAGTGCTTAAAAGGTGAACAAAACTTGTCGTTTCTTCGACAAGCTGCACAAGGAGTAAGACTGTCTGTCTAACCAGCTACATATTACAGTAGCTAAGGGACCACCAAGTAAAGGAAATTATTGATAAAAGAACTACTATAATATGTAGACTGAACGTTAACCCACCCCCTCATTATGAAACACTCTATATATTCCAACTTATAAACTTGTGTATTATATACTGAACGTTCCCTACCCCCTCATTATGAAACACTCTATATATTCCAACTTATAAACATACGCATTATATTGTTGTGTGTATATTATATACTGAACGTTACCCTACCCCCTCATTAGGAAACACTCTATATTCCAACTTATAAACATACGCACTATATTGTTGTGTGTATATTATATTGTATTCATGTAGAACTTGGTCCGGAATTGTAATTTCAAATCGCTAGCTACACAGTGTCGGGTATAACGCGCTACTGAGGCATACGTATATTCCTTCCTGAACACCATAAGATACTTAATATCCTTATTATATCGTTTAAACTGAATAAAGGATGTTATTATAAATCCACCACAGCCGCACTTAATTTGGAAAAGTACCATTATATTAGGGTAGATCTTGTAAAAGGTGAATCTGTATCAAAATAACAGAATATCAATACAGATCAATTATACCACAAATCTTTTGTACTTGTCGTTGTCTAATGTTCGACTCTTTAATTTCAGATCGGAATGAAACTGCCATTCGCTTCCTGGCTTCGCCTGTATTATATTGGATAAAGCGCGGTGGTTAGTGACGAGATTGGTTTACGGTCTAAACAGGTTGAGATGATTGTAGAGGAAGCCTATGTTGAAGGATAACGGATATACTGAGTAGTCACTGACCTGAAGGACACAAGAGGAATTAATATAATCGCGACTTGGTAATTAGGAGATTAGTTGAATTTGCGAAACTGAAATTATTTTTACTGGTATGTATATTCTTCATCGAGGTTAGTTGATTGGTGCGACAAATAATCATTACCAATATGTCGGAGGAGTAAGTCTGTTAGGTCAGTTTTATCTGATCCGACTTTTTGTTCGTGGTGTTATTTAATTATTGTAATAAAAGTCTAACCAGACATATAACTTTCAGCGGGGGCCCTACATTGTCAACACGCATCTAGCTGGATATTTATGGCGGAGGCGGAGAAAGTATTTCATTGTTCCTGAACCCCTTGTGACATAAGATCAATAAACAAATTCGATTTTTTTTTCTTCTAGCAAATTTGTATTTTACAGATGAACAATAGGTAAAAGAAAACCCTTGAATTTATCAACATCGTTGAAACCATTGTTACGAGGAAATTGAATTATTTTTCACCGAATAGGTTGAGACAATGCTAGCGGATACCATCCATTAAGAGTTTTACCACTGGTAGATCTTTTTGTGCAGTCTGAAAGGCTATATTCTCAAGTGCCACTTTATTACTTTGTAGTTTGTTTGCTTACGGTGTGTCACTGGGCGATTCCATTTACATACATGGATAATTGTTCGGAAATGGACTATTCAGGTATGTTTACCTTTATTGCTCATTTGGTTATAAAACAAATTCTTTCAGATTTGTCTAGCTCGGCCTTCCGTTAGGCTAAGGGTGGTACTTGAGAGATGAAGTTCACGTGTGTATATATTAACATGCCCTTAAAGGAGCCCCTGGCAGATATAATTCAACACTTAACACCGCCTCACGCACGTACCTATAAAAATTTGCTGTTCCGAAAAAATCTCCTGGCTCACTAGCACAGGTAACATTTACTCGTGTCTCAAACTGACCGCAGTATTCTGTTGACAAAGCATTAAAAACCGTTCCATTATAGTCAATGAGATTTCATATTATACACTGACATTATATCAACCAGGAGGGCGTTTCGTGGGCTGCCACGTACTTGGTTACGTTCCTCTATTCCCTTGGTTCAAATCCGTGCGTCGTTTGTTTGAGACAACCGTCCATAATTTGCCAAGTGATTTCGGGTACTTTTTTGATTTAGCTGTCAGGTAATGAGAGACATCCTTAGTACGGATGAGATTATACTCGTCGTATTGCTTGATGACCGGCAGTTGGGCAACTACTTTAAAAGTTGGGCCCAATCCAGTGCAGAGTTACGTTATAATGTAATTACGACAATAACGGTATATTCTTACTATTCATAAAGGGAAATTGTATTCTGCAATGTTCTCGCGATGTCATTTAGGGGCGCGGTGGTTTTATTTTTGACTATCAATGAAACCAAATGGGGTTTAACGTCTTACTGTTTAAGCACTGTGCTATAAGGGAAATGTTTGCTGGACAGCGGTACTACTACCTACTCTTATTTTGAATTTATACTGTCGAGGGTTATTTTGGGTGCACTGCAATGTTACTTGTCGGGACCTCCGTCCTGCACCACTGCTAAGGGGTAACCACGTCGGGTTTGACAATGTTCTTTGTTGACATTCTCTTGAACATTTGGGATTTCTTACTTCTAACCGAATTAAGATTTATAAGCTCCTTGGCTAAATGGTAGCCCACTGTCTAAATCTTTTTATCGACCGGCCAGTTCTGGTATACAGTACAGTGTTTCCGATTATTATAAATCTAAGCGTGTTTACTACAAATATATACACAGTGTGTTAGCTGAAGACTTTTTAAATATATAATTCATAGTACTTATTCTTTGATACACCATTCAAATATGAATTAACTTTTTACTTAGTCTCTGGGTTTGAGCCCCCTTAGACCTGAGCGGCTGAAAGACGGCCCGGGTGACCCTTGGCTTGAGTACCGGGCAGCCGGTGTATTTGGTTATTCAGTAACGAACAGGTACCTGTGGCGGCCGATATACCTAAGGGTTCATAAAAGTTAGAAAATAAAATTTTTAGTCCATTTTTACCCTGGGGGTAGACTGGTATACACACCTTCGTCGTTTAGGGTGTCGGTGCCAAAAGGATTAAAAATGCCCAATTAATAGTTATTAATGTTGGTGGTGAATATTACAGAATTAAAACACAATCGTCTTTTAATAATTTAACATAGAAATGAATAATCGAGACTTTGTTTATTATATGTAGCAATGGTACTTGACAGCTGAGAATAATAAAATGGCATCTTAGGAATTAACAATTAGTAACAAGTTACTAACAATTGAAGGGAAGGATTAAATTATAAAAGACATTACAATAAAATTAAACAATAAGAGAGCAATTCAACCCAATAATGTGTCAGCTGTTAACCGTATGCCATTAGATTAGTAGCTAATCTTCTAATTAATAACCAAGGGTTAATAGAAACATAAGAATAACAGAAATGGTTAATTGAATGAATGAATAATGAATGATTGAAATACAAACAATTCACACATTTATCACCATTATAGTAATGATGTATATTCCTTATATTTTTAGGGTGAACAGTTGGGGTGCTTTGGAATAATGGAATAGAGTTTTTCATCCGATGTTGTTCTGTGAAATCAACTTTGCCCATTGGTTTATATAACATTATGTGGTATTAAGCTAAAATGACCATGACATCCATACATCAAGAGGATTATGATGCTGAATATTTCAACTCCGTTCAATTAAATGCCACCAACACATCCACTATCTGGACGGATTATCGATATGGCGGGAATTATAACTTCACTCGTTCACGCCCGATGTATCCGCCGCGGCCGCCGATCCCCAGATTGGTCCAAGCTATTGACTTGTTCAACTATTATAGTGTTCCAATTATTGTTGTTCTTGGTTCCATTGGGAATATCTTAAGTTACCTTGTGTTTACCAAGACACGGGTAAAGAAAGTGTCCTCGGTGCGATACCTTGCAGCCATTGCTATCACGGATACTGGATTTTTGTGGACATTTTTCTTCACGCCGTTGCAGATGTACTACAACCAACCAATCATCACTTACGTTGGTGTTTGTCAAGTCGTGACGTTTTTAAACTATGCTTTTACCTTTTTGTGTATTTGGTACATGGTTGCACTGGTGGTCGATCGGTTTATTTCCTTGTACATGCCTTTAAGAAAGTCTTCGATGTGCACTGTGTTCCGGGCTAAAATTGTGATAGTCGGCCTTGCCGCAATGGCCGTCGTTTGCTATTCATATGTGACTTACTTTTACGGCACGGATGGAGTTTATGGTCAATATTGTGTACCGTTTTTAGTTTTTGAAGGACATTATCACAATTTGGATAGAATAGATACGGTGTTCGTTGCTGTTATCCCTTATGTCATCATTACGATCCTTATTGTGTTGATATTAATACGGAGCTGTGAATATTACAGAATATCGGCTTCTGCTGAGATTTGCCCTCGTTCTGAATCTCGACGTCGTGCTGGTCGACAGACGTCACATCCGCCGACACGAATAACGCGTGTCCTGTGTCCGGTAATAATCATTACGCTATTGTTTAATATACCACAGAACGTAATCAGAACGTTAAGGCGATTCGACGAAGGTGTATCACATATGGAGATCCACAAATGGCTAATGTTATGTCGTATTCCATATTTGCTAAATTTTGCTGTGAAGGGATTTTTGTATTTTGTATGTTCCGGGTGTTTTAGAAGAAGACTGCGTGATTACGTTTGTGAGTTTCGCCTTAAGATCAAACACTCGTGTGCAAATAGAACAACCACACCCCCCGATCCGCAGATCATACAGTTACAGGAAAGTAATCCGGTGAAAAGGGGCGAAGCTAAATTACTACAGACAGCTATTTAGTGATCCAAGCTTCCCATCGCCCCACTACTGCTGTGGTATTATTTGCAAGAATTTGGTATTTGATTAGTGGGTCCAGACCAGAATTTAGTCTTGGTCATTCAGTAAAATGCCGCGATCAATCCACGTCTTCAGTCAACCAATGATGTTTATACAATCTATTAAAATTCCGGGTTTGAATTTTTTATGGGCGTACTTTAAATTGAAAACATTACTGCAGCAACTGTGGTTTGTTAAATCAAGGCATCTGTTAATTATATTGGACCTACATACAAGTTCCAGCTTTTAATTTTCATGGACCTACATTACAATTTCGGTGTTTAATTTTTTTATGGACCTCAATGACAATTCCGGTTTTTAATTATTATGGACCTACATAACAATTCTGGTTTTATTTTTATGTACCTACATCACAATTCCGGTTTTTAATTATTGTGGACCTCCATCACTATTCCGGTTTTTAATTTTCATGGACCTACACCACAATTCTGGTTTTTAATTATTATGGACCTCTATTTTTAATTATTATGGACCAAAATTCCACGGAGATCTTATCATTTCGTCGTCAGTCATCTGTTCCATTTGAAGTCTAATTGTAGCACAGCTAAAAAAACATTTTAAACCACCGAGACATCTGTTCATTGGCTACATGAAAGGCCACGTCTCATCAAGTGAACATCTTCATTAATTGTTAGAGTGTAAATGTAAACAACTATCCATCAACTCGAAAATTATGACGCTATGTAATGATTTGATTATAATTAAACTATGACATATATACACAACCCATTTGGTCAGTTTCGACTTATGTAGCATAGTTTGGCCGGTTTGGTAATAGTCGGACTATAACTATGGCAAGCATGACTGCATGATGGAGTCATAGTCAGGCTATTACTATCGTATATGTATGATTGTTGCAATGTATTTTCGAGCCTTGGTAATAGTCAGGCTATAACTATCATGATACTATGTAGTACTACTGTATAACCGGCCCTTGGTCATAGTTCGCCAATAAGTGCATTACAATATGATAGAACCTATTTAAATCTGTGACGGAGTCGATAATGGTCAGGTTATAACCTTCATTATGTATTACTACAAACAGTTTCGTATAGCAGTCCGCTGTGGAGCCAATCAAATAGCGTGTTTGGCCATGAATCAAATACGATAGAAAAATAGTCTGATTATTACCAATGGTAGGTCGCGACAGCGGACCATGATGTCCGCAACGGAATATAGCGAAGACGAAAGGGGTGGGCGGGTTAGCCTGGAAAAGAGGTGGCGGAGTCTTTGAAGCCCGGGTAAATTTCGCGTTGAAATTGTTGGTAGCGCATGATACCCGAGTCACATACACAAATCGGAGCTAAGTTGGAAGATCGGGGCAGTAATTTGCCAACAAATAAGGAGAAAGTTGATCGTGTCTTAATTAAACACATAGCTACCCGTAGAGATGTGGGATGGGGGTTAGTCCCGAAATGACCTAGTTTGTGTCGAGTGGACGTTAAACCCCATTTCTGTCTGTCTGTCTGGGATGGGGGCATAAATCTAACATGACTAGTACATCTTCTAAATTGTCAACTCATGTTGGTTAGGCGAAATAAAATGAAATGTGGTTTTATGGCGCCAAACATATGTTGACGTATACGGGACAAATTAAATAATATCACATTAATATATTAAAATACATCAATACAAACATGTGACACAGTCAATATAATTAAAATCAAATAACATAAAATTTAATGTATATTAAACATAGGTCTGAAATGTTATCGAAATTATTAATTAAGACATTAATTAACTTATCCAGACCATATCAACTCTCGATGTTATAGCTAACCTATGATACTTACTGGATTTGAATCAGATCTGCTGCCGCGGCGGATACATCGGGCGGGAACCGACTTTAGTATTGAGGATCGGCCTAAACTTCAATCGCTAAATTCTCGGTTCACAGTGAATCAATACCCTTTACATTATCTACTTTTAACCTATTATAGTGAGACCTGCCAGCTCTTTACCTAATCTCCCATAATGTATCTTTAATATTTAAAATATAAATCATGAGAGAACAAGAATATTTACTGAGTAGCAAAAGAAACGTCTAAAACTTGCCAAATGTTTTTATTGTATATTTGTGACCACATCTATAACTTTACATGAGCAATAGGACTCCTTCCCAAACACAGAATTGAACCCAGGAAATGTTCTCAAAAACGCAATCTGACTTCTGAGATGGTAATGTGTTCTCCATGATTTTCATATAACTTATGCTGCACGTGCTGTTCACCGGGGTCAGCCCTATAAAATGCACCCCTACCTGGTTGAATCATTCACACTACGTCAGCAGCATGCCACGACTCACGACAGCTCAGGGGAATCAGGCGCTTGGAAGACTCGACGCTGGCCACTCTGCCCAAGCCGTTGCCAATCACATGTGTGGACCATCTACAGGCTTCAGCAACGATTTCGGGCGTAGACCAAGGCGACAAGACCGCCATGTTGTGCAACAGCACGTGCATAATCCCTTCACACAGGCATCTGAGACAACACGTCAGACAGTGGGAACACACGGAAGACCCATCAGTACCGATACAGTGCGCCGACGTCTCACCAGAGAACATCCATTGCTGTATACCTTAACGTGGACCGATCCCCACCCCTCGGTATTGCGTATCAACTGCAGATGGCAGGACCAGAATATGGCGTCGACGTTACCAGCGTTATTCTGACCAATGTGTCATGGAACGAGACTCATGGGGAGGTCCAAGCATAATGGTTTGGAGTGGAATCGGCCTGAACTAGAGAGTGGGTTCTGTGTTGTTCCAAAATCTTGGTCCAGGGGGAGGAGCTGGCATCACAGCAGTCCTCTATATCGATCAAGCTCTCAGACCCCACGTCATCGAAACAACGTTTTCCAGCATGACAACGCCCGTGTCCACACAGCCAGATTTACTCGGGACTTTCTACAGCAGAACGGTGTCAACGTTATGCACTGACCAGCCCTTATTCCCGACTTAAACCCGATTCAACTTCTTTGGGATGAAATTCAGAGGAGGATTAATAACGTCGTATCGAGACCAAACACAGCCGATGGATTCCGCCAGGCTCTTCTGAGAGTGTGGTTCCAGGTGCCAATGGCGTTCATCCATCGTCTGGTCCACCCCATGTGCAGACACAGCGCTGCTGTTATTGTCACTGGCGTTGGACACACCAGACACTGATGTATAGACTGTGCACAGACTCGAAACCTTCTCGTAATGTCTTGGAATTGTGATGAATTAATCACTAATGTGCCAACATACTGTTCACAAAAAATTGCTTTGATCCATTTAGTAAATTGTTTTCTAGAATGATTTGATTAAAGAGCCTCCCCGATTTTGAAATCGTATAGACGGGGTTTTTTTTTGGTTTTTTTTTGTGTTGCTGTTTAGTATATACAAAACTTTCGATAAAAAATTGTCTCTTTTGAAAAGTTAAACGTTTTACAATATAGCGCCTGTTGAGCAAATAATTGAGGAGGTGACTGGCATCGGTAATAATTTGATATAATATCTTTGAGATGCTTCAACACAATCAGAATGTGTTTAACTGTCAAAGGACCATGACAGTGATCACATTCTGGCGGAATATGTATGACCCATTTGTCACACCGTAATGGCATGGTAGTTAGTATTATTTCGGTAAAATTGCAGCTGGACTTTTGTTCAATGTTCATTTGGTATTATTTAAATGTTGTCTGACCCCCAATCCCATCTCACAGTACCCTGTTCAACATGTCATCCTCCAAGAAAACTGACGCCTGCTACACTGATCCTCACGAAATACAGAACTTAAGTGATGCCAGGTAAGAGAAGAGTTGCTTTTTAACATTAAAAGTAAGATATAGAGTAGTTCTGTCGAAACATATTAAAACGATCATGACTTGTGCTCAGTCATTAATACATGCCAAAAAATACTTGTGTGTGTGTCACACAGGGCTTTAGCCTAGTGTTGTTGCACTATTCTCTCACATCAATATTGCAGTAAGCCAGTAACGGTCATACATGTAGCTACAATTTCGCTTGCTTATGGAATTTAGTCACACTGGCACTCGTTTCACAATGCTTAATGGATAATCAAATTTAGTTAGTGATCTGGATTTCTTCTCCAGATCCAGCCCTCAATCAAATTGATCCACACCCCTGGCTGTGCCCCTCCCCCACACAAACGCTAACTATCTTCCGTAAGCCCACCCCATGTTTGCACACACAGTTACCCTCATACTGAGACATCTTTTACAAGGGATTTGGAAAAATTCACAGCTTGAACAGTCATTGCCATACATATTTAGTGCCAGTGGGAATTATGTTCTTCTGCATCCCCACCCCAGTTGCATCGGTAACTATTATAGTATTTGTGACATAATTACTTATTTAAAATCCTTAAACAGCACCGGAGCAAATGGTTAGATCGAAGGAAGAAAAGAAATCTGTGACTGGATGTAGATAAGTAGGCGAGTCGTCATTTAATAAAAACAAATTATTAATGTTAATGAAGTTTTCTATTTGTTTACCTCTGTTGTTATCATCCAAGTTACTCCAAAGTGGATGATGACCATTGAAATCTCCCGTAATTATAAACGGAAGAGGACGTTGTGTAACAAGGTCATTAAGATCTCTTGGGTTCAGATGCAAACTGGGAGGAAGATGTATAGGAATATACAAAGTCACCCTAACTGCAACTGCTTGCAAAGGCGAGTTGAGGATGACATGAGTCTGAGGGATATTTCCATTAAGAATAATAAAAACACGAGCTCTACCATCATTAGTTGAGTGTTGATTTTAACCAACAAAATGTCTAAAAGACCGTGTCAGAATTCACCCTAAAAGGTTTCGTGTAAAGAAATAGCTAAAGGATTATACTTTTCGTTAAAATTTGGTTTTAAATCACTGCAATTCCATTGAATAATAGAATTGACCATTTCTGGCGGCTTCCGCTGACACAAAGGTATATTTGCCGAGTGAAAAATACAAGAAAGCATTGGAATTAGGATCGTACACTCGACAGAGCAAAAGACGACCAAACCCGATTGATCAGAATGGCTGACCTCCCGTCTAGATAAATTATGGGCCAAAGCAATCTGTTGCAGAGAAAGGGCTCGCAAGCCAAATCCCCATTCAATTACCAGGTCTCCACCGACACGGGTCGCAACGCACGGCAAACCCGTAGTCCCATTATAGGGACCCTTTTAGGGTATATTCGAAGGGTATATTCTTATCACTCCCTACATCCCGGGGGTAATCATTATCTTCCGAACGCCATTATGTGCTTGTAGTGATTAAACAACACATCTAGAATATAGTGCACGATGTTATCAAAATATTTTTTTTTTTTTCAATCTTCCGTGTTAGTCTTTATCAAAAGAAAAAAACCAGTAGCAGGCCTCCAGCTCCTAGTACATGTGACAATATAGTAGTTATTTAAATACATAACCTATAACATTTACACTAAATCTTATAAATATATAAACTACTAGCAGGATACCCGGCTTCGCTCGGGGGTCATAACTCCGAAACCGGAAGTGGTAGACTAACGCCACCTGGCCTATGTTACTCCCCGGTCCGAGCTACCCCTATACCCCAAATTTCAGACTCGGGGCAGACCTAGTGTAGCCGCCAACCCCGAACAGACCGGCTTCGCTCGGGGGTCACAACTCCGAAACCGGAAGGGGTAGACTAACGCCACCTGGCCTATGTTGCTACCCCTATACCCCAAATTTCAGACTCGGGGCAGACCTAGTGTAGCCGCCAACCCCGAACAGACAGACAGACAAAC